TTCTACCCGTGTCTTACAAAGCTGATCATATATCAGATAATTACAATCTATCTGCGATACGCTTTTGCCTCCGTCACATTTACTGCACATATTTTTACGTCGTAGGAATTCGCACAGAACGAACACGTGATTTTCGATGTGGTCGCTGTTCCCCGCTTGTCTGAGCTACGATTGTCCTTGGGGTTGTTGCTCACTGGATTCGTGGTCGACAAACTCCTACGGCCCACGGTGCGATGGTCGGTATGCACTTTTGGGTTGCATTGGTCACGCCGCTTATGCTGCCTCCGTTGTCTACTCCGGTCAGCGGGTTTGGTGGCGGCGCGTCACTATGCGCACGAGAAGCTAAAATCACAGTTTTGTGCAACGCAATGCACGTAACAATACGGTAATCAGGTGAGACGAAAATATCCCGTAGCTGTGGTATACAGTGATGCACAGTATCAATTTATAAATTGGACGATGCACTCATCCACTTACACTTTGTTACTTAACACTATGTCTCCATCCTACACCTGGAGTTTACCCTGGAATTATTTGTTGTTAACTGTGGGTGTTGTGAATCTAAGTGGATCGCAGGACTGCAGCGAAGCAAACGATAAGTCCTTATTTTCGTATTTAAAGTGTTAACTATTTTACTATCCTTTTCATCATAATTATTATGTTGATATCCCCACCAACTATCCAACGGGGCTTGTAAAGCAACGCTTCTTAACCCGTATAAATTCATTGTTCATTGTCTGGTAGCTTTAAAGAAGCTCCGTCGAATGGTATCTCAAAGATACTGATGAGACTCAAATTACCAGTTATGCTTGTTGGTATTAGTGGATAGACTTTTAAAAACGTCGTTTGTGGTGTGTCAGCCTGTCGTCGGACTTACTACAAAAATTTAGATCCCGTTGGACAGAGCTCGTTGGTAAAAATCAATTGAGCGTACTTCCGAAGAGGTGGTACAAAAGTGTGAGGGGCTAAGTCCAATTTAACACAGAGCACAGGATTGCCCGATTCGCAAGCACACACTGACAAGTTCACGGTGTACTAAAGGGGGTGATACTAAATGAGGGGGAATCTTCGCCCTGCACCGCACTCGGCCACAGGTTCGAGAGTAGATGGCTTGAATAATGTTGACGTACTTCTCAAGCACCTCAATTTCAATGGACAGTTCCATAAAACGGCTTTGTCAACTGAGTCAAACGCAGCACCTATGTCTAATAAGCCATCGATTGTTGGCAGGCCGAATGTTTGACGACGCTCGAGTATTTAACGGAGAGTTAAATTGTGGTCGATACAACTCCGGCCAGAGCAGAACCCAGCTTGATCTTTGCGTATAATTTGCTCGTGCATTAGGCTCAGACTGATTAAAAGTAGGGCGGCGAGCACTTTCGATGCAACGCAGATGCGACTAATCCCTCGGTGTTTAGCAGAGTCTGACCAGGCACACTTTTCGAAGACGGCTACGATATACACCAGGGTCCAGTAAGACGGTATCGCCTCGGTAGTCCAAACCTCTCAGATAAGGGAAGGTAACTCCCAAACAAGTGGTTGATGGCCATCTTTGAAAAGATCGGGAAAGTGTTCGTCAGTGCCGGGGGTTTGGTAGCGATTTAGGAGGCGAAACTCATGAGTAACCTCAACTTCAGATGGTGGGGAAGCAGTTAAACACCAGGGAGTATGCTGGATTACTGAATGGGAACACATTGGTGCTACTGGGCATTGAAGATGCTGCACAAAATGGTCGGCCCAAGCTCGCGTCGCGTATTACACAGTAGATTGACTCGCTATTGGTTTCGCATAAAACTTCGCTTGAAGTCGGCCTTCTGCCGCCAGTGGATCGGATTAGGTGGAAAGACTTTCGGAAATCACCAGTGCTGGCCGCCTGCTCCATTTCAATTACCCGTTGTGTGCACTAGGCCTTGCCATCCTCCTAGTGAAGCTGTTTCATTTCAGCGTCAGTGATCCTGCATACTGCTGGAAATGCCCGACGAGCCTCGTGTAGTTAAAGGGATCATGCAGAGATCCAGTGGTTGACAGGGATACCGGTGAAACAGCACACCAGGCTTGCAGAACTATACTTGACTCACCGGATGTTGGCCCAGTGCGTTTCAACATCACATCATGAGCCACTTTTGATATCCGTGGCCAACACATTCTGAAACGTGATGAAAACGTTAGGGTCAGAACTCTTATTTATGTCAGGCCGTTTCCGGCGACGTCGTTGGGAGCCCTCAAAGAGTAAATCAACCTTGGCATACCCGAGCTTGTGATTCGAAGTGAGGTAAGTACTCCGGATTAATTTGCGATCCTGTAAGCAGCATCGCCAGCGATAACTGATGGCGTAGTGGTCACTTTGCGTCCATGGCTGGCCAGGAGACAGAAGCCTCCAGGTCATGCTTTTGCGCCAGGATCGTCAAAACTAGCCCTCGGCAGGCAGATGCCATGATCGCCGCAGAGTCGTAAGAGGCGATTACCGTTGTGTTTTCTACAAGTGCCATAGCCACGTTGACCACCGAGTTCACGCTCTTCAACCTTAAATGCTATCGACCGGCGCGTTTAAGTCCCCTGCCAGCACTACGATGTCTGTACTGCGCATTTTTCGGAGAAGGTAGGACAGTTGACAGTATGACTCGTCTTTAACTGACTCCGGACTGCAGTCCGTGGGAGCGTACGCCGCTACAACGAACAAGCAACCTCTGCTAGTTCCACGACTGGAAAGTCGCAGTGTGGTCTCAAGTCTGATCGCGCAGTGTCGACTGTTGACCGGGATCCAGTCTAGTAACATGACCTTAGCACGTGTGCTCAACGCAATCCCCACACCGGCAAGACCAGAGGCTTCGGTCGCAATGTCTTCAGTTAAGCGCGATGTAAAAATGCCAGCGAAACACGCAGTCGGTGAAATTATCCGTGGCGTCGTGCTAGGATCCAGTAATCGGGTTTCAATGAGGCAGCAGACATTGATGGCAGCAGCCCAAAGCGTACGAACAAGGGCCACTTGTGATCCGATCTGCATCAGCGTTCGAACATTAAAGGTCGCCAGCTTGAATGGGAAACGAGGCGCTAGAAACAGGCTTGGCAGTACTGCTTGGCGGCGTACCCTTCGACCTAAATTCCTGACCTGTATGGCAAGAACACTCGCCCAAGTCGGCGCGGTGTTGAAGACTTGGAAAAGGAGGAAGCTTACCAAGGATGGAAGAGTTGAACAAACGTGGAATAAAGTAACTGTGCTGTGGTGCGGTAGAGCGAGACATAGCATGTTTGGCCGCCAGCACCTTGGCTGTGGGTACCATTAGCAAATAGCATAGTGAGAGGGTGTTAAAGGTCGTCGAAACATTGGTCCATAAGTTGTGTGGGCATGTAGCTTTCCGGTTTCCCAGGCTGAGGAAGAAGGTTGAATTTAGAGACCCCACTCGTGGCCTTTGGTCTTAAAGACAGCGGCGTAATTGACGGATATCGAATACGGTTGGAAGCCGGCTACCATGATGATGACAACACGGCTTTCGGGTAGAAACAAACTACTCATGACGCCAAAGAAGTCCAAATGAAGCAACAGTGAGGCCAGAAGAAATTCCCTGGACCACCGAAGTCGCAGAAGAGCACGAGGGCTGTTGACAGCCAGGTGGCTCATGCGCCTTCGCAGGAGCCGGTGGCCATCGAGGTAGTTCCTTCGCCCTCGACGGAACTAACTGGATAGTAAAAAACCTACTACCACGCAAGTGACGGAACTAAGGATGTCGACTTAAAAAGAGACAATTATTGACCAATCAGCTGCACACCAATCTCCTTAGGAGTGGTGGAGAGATTCAACAAGAAGGATACGCTCAGCATGCCACTGCGTCGAAAAATAATCTATACATCTCAGCATGGATTTCCACCAACAAATACTGTTGGCATGTCAAGCTCGAATTCGTAAACCCCGAATAGGTAATAGAGCTTAGAATCAGTAGCTGGTATTGTTCCTGCTAGGCAACTATGCATTTGATTGGAATAAACGATTGATGTTAACCGCATTAATTGGCTTCATTAACTAGCTGCTTTCTTGGCTCTCATGTTCACTTTCCAAGTAAACACAGTCGGCGAGATGGTGAAGCCGTGTCAGAGAAGCTGTTTGCGACTAGTTACTTCTTTCAATACAGAGTTCTAAACTGTCTATGTCTTTTTCTCCAGGCAAACAATGTTTATCCCTTCTGCAGACTTAGCAATCCATATCTATGTGCCGATGATATTAAAACTGTAGTTTCAGTGGCCCCAACTGACCTTCACGTCATCCAAAGTGAGCTCAAGTTTCGGATAATTAGTCCAATTTATGGGTTGAACTTGCACATCCAAAATGCAATGTTCTCTTTTACCGATGCACTGTGCTTTCCAACCGATTCATGCTAGATGGTGCAGTAACTGACTTTGATATGCAGTACTCGAGTTTACTGAACGTTGCTGGACGAGTAAGCTGTAGCTCAGCGAAAGCTGGGTCAGTCATACGGTTGTATCCCAAAAACGAACCGCACATCATGCTCTATATGTTCAAAACCGATTTTAGAATACTGCCTATTGACAGTTAGTAACTAGCTAACCAGTGCTAGAATAGCCCTCGAGAAAGTTAGACGGTCTTTCACAAAACGTCTGCCATGTTACTGTAATGGTGACTGAAAGCTGGGGCGAACCGATTCGCCTGCCTCCGTGCGGTCGATAAGGCGATCGATCGAGTGGGCGAGTTAATTTTAAATACACAACTAGTTGTACTTTGCCTCAAATTTTTGGATAGAACGTTTGTCTGCATAGTCGGTGCGAGTTCTTTCTGTCTACGCGGCTGGGTGCACCAAGCACAAAACATGGTGTCAGGGGTACAAACGTGCCAAAACTTGCTCGCCATTGAGAAGCAATCAATGAGCTCATTGCCAATCCCGCTAGAGATGAGAGAAAGCACATTGTCGGACAACTGGAAAGCGGATTGGATGGGATTCGCGGCATTGATCCAGTTGGATGAATATGTAAGACCATAACAGTTGGCAATGTTCAGATACTCCATCGGCTCTGAAGCAAGTCGGATAATGGAGGCCTGGGATCTTTGGGACAATGAACCTTATCTTTTAGAAATAATCGAGCGTTTTGAAAGATACTGTGTTGGTCGATCGTATTTTTTTACGCACAGCCGTCGAGCGGACGAGGATCGTTCATTCGATCCTGAAAGCGACCAACAGTCGCAAGAACAATTACCAAATCACTTGGAAAATCAAGAAGATCAGCACTGCATTTCTGCCATACCCCAGATTCAAGGATTACCAATACCGTCAAGACTTGAGTTAAGAGCAACCGTGAGTAGGTCGCCCGGGAACCAATACAGCGGAATGCAATGTAGCGTGAAACAGAGTTGTCACGAAAGGCGGAACGACTTCACCGTGCACCCAAAGGGGAATGCTGCTGTGCACTTCCTCAAGAAAGCAACAAATAAACTTATCGAATTCAAAGTGACGCATGAGGATCCTTATTTAATGCAACTGAGAAGAAATACGCGTTCTACCGCATTCGGCAGCAGTCTAGTACAGCTCCAATTCAGTCACAGGATAGACCGCAAGCTCGTCCGCAGTGGACGAGGATATGGAAACTGCAACACAAGAAATATGAAAAGGAAGAAAAAGGAAAGGATGTGGTGGTGGCTGAAAGCTTGGGCGAACCGATTCGCCTGCCTCAGTGCGGTCGATAAGGCGATCGATCGAGTGGGCGCGTGAGTTTTAAATACACAGCTAGTTGCACTTTGCCTCAGATTTGGGAATAGAAGGTTTGTGTGCAGAGTCGGTGTGAGTTCTTTCTGTTGACGCGGCTGCGTGAACCAAGCACAAAACCATTACCCTATTTTTAATTATCAAGAACCGTACAGCTAGGTTAATCTGAATCAGTTCTTGCTTTTCCTACTCACTACGGCCATACTATTAGACTTGTCAAGCATTCGCTTCTTTGCCTGTCATATTTCATTGTATATTATACATAAATGTCTTTACCGATGTCCGATGAGTAAAACAAATCGGTTTTCTGACAGAAAAGTAAGAGTCCCTTGAGCCCAGCGGGCTCGTATATCACTAACAGCCCATTCATAATGCTTCAGTGCTCAGGTATGGGTCTATTCTCTGAACTCAGCAACATTGCTGCAGGCGTTTTATCATCGGTCGCAGGGAATTCGTCAGTGCGTTGTAGGCAATCTGATTGGGTCGTAGACCTTTGATTAACGAACGAGTGACGTTTGAGCTTGATCTCTTCGATGCACGTCTCGTGACCATTAATATTTCTTAGTTTGCTCGTCCCTACTTCTGTCTGAGTTGGTTATTGAACTGCCTCAGTTCCTTCCTTCTCAACTGCTGGTAAACCGGATCTATATCAATGTGTAGGTTTATTGAATTCTGTGGAGGGAACCGCGTTGCGAAAAATTCACTTCCTTTGTCTCTCCTTGCGTCAGAACCTCAGTTTTGTTCCAGTCAAATATCTGTCCTTCCACATCAACGTGTGTCGCGACCAGTGATCATGAGGTAATGGTTTCGGCAGGCTCTTCTGTGTTCTTGCAACTTTGCAAAGAATTTCCCTTAAGTTTGGCGTCTACCATCTTTCGCATCCTGTAAACAACGTTTCGGCGTTGGTGTGCTTTTGTTTTGTGTTCGGTCTACACAAGGTTTCTTTCAGACTGGCAGCTTTTCACTGAGCTACTCTCAGCTGGTGTGCCTCGAGGAGTCGAGCGGTCATTTCCGATACGGTCTCGTTATACCCCAATCGATGCACTTCGTTCTTGTTGGTTCAGGTGTGGCAACTCTGTGTGTTCCAGTGGAACTATCTACATTCTGTTGAACATGCAAGCTATGGCATGAGATCCAGGCAGTAGGCAACCACACCCCACTGCAGAGCGATCTCGACAGGGCCTATATATGACCATCCAAAACCAGGACTAGTTAAACTGAACGAAGTGCAACCATTTAATCATACACCATCCGTGTTAGGTCGAGCACCGCGACCACTTCCACCCACTAACTGTACTGAGAACACCAAAGACCAGGGACAAGGATTCAGGAGTTAGTTTAAGTGGGGAAATCACCATGAAAGTCAACCAGCATACAGAAAGCGTGCTGACAAGTAAAGCTAATAAAGTTCAAAAAATAAGGACCCAGTCAGGTGCATACAAAGCACAGAAAGTGAGAGTGTTAGCGCCAGAGTGCGGTTGGGCCCAGTAAGCAAAAACAACGACTCTAAACAGCCAATAGGGAGCGCGGAATGATCCGTTACAACAGACAGCAGGGAACTGATGTTCGAGTTTTGAAACCCTCTTGCCATGTGTCTTAGATTGAGACACGCAATCATAATTGTGGCCTCCGTTGACTTTGAAGTCAGCCTCTGGCAATACCAGCACTGTGACCGTTAGAGAAGTGCAGGATTTCGGTGTTGCTCTCTCTCACCAAAGCACTCCACGACCGGCCGTTTCGTCCTGGTTCTGACTCGTCAGGTAGAGACAACCGAGCTGGGAGTGGAACTTAGTGTACTGCGCTTGGCAGCTATCACCATAATCAATAGGCCATTGAGCTCGGCGAGCAGTGCTCGACAAGGCAGTTGGAAGTTGACTTTGGGGTTTCGGAGCAAACGCCGTGTGTCTTGACTTGCGACACGCAATCTCACGTTATCCTTACCTGTAGAGTCCAAACCAGGATGAAACTTTCGGTCGTGGGTTGCAGTGCTGGGAGAACGCCACATTGAAACATCAGGAAACCACCAAACCCCAACAAAACTATGCAGTCATGAAAGGCTACACAAGTCTGCCTTCCTTTTATTACTCCTCTATCAATCCGTGAACTCGTAAATGTTGACCCAGAGAGCAGCAGTTGCACTGTATACCTAGAGAGTCTAAATCAGGAAGCAACCGGTCGTTGGCGTGCAGTGTAAGGAGAACACCTCCGACACCCTCCACGTCACGATGTATCTAGTTAGCTAAATGACTACATCAGGCATTCGTCCGCGGGTCTATTTTAATCCAGTTTTGTCCCACTTGTGGCAAAGGTTATCTATAGCTCGCTCTCGTAGCCTGTAATTTGCTCATTGCTTTTCCACTACACTTACCGATCCCATTAAGAGAATACTATTGTAACCTAAGCCTGACTAAGAAATTGACATGCATCGAGCCCTAGATGTCACGCTGTTTTGAAACTCTAGCCCTATAACTGTAGGTTACTTGGAAAAACAGAGCTACAATGGGTGTGCCTTTAATCAAACTCAATCGCACCCGAACATAAATCCAGTGTTCGTTCAGCAGAGCGACAGTTAATTCAAGGCTGCGTCTTCAACTGTTAAAGCTCGGTTGTCTTGTCAATAAACGTCCATCCTGGCACATTTACTGTGTCAGGTGGAGGTGAAACTGGGTGGACGTCTAATCATGTTGACTCATCCTTCTAGGTGTAATTAAGTGTTGTAAAATTTAGCAGTCGATGCTGAATGCTGCTAGTGACGGAGTGCTGCGCGTTTACGTATGGCTTCATGCAACTTGAAATGTCAATGCGCTCGGATTTTCTCAAGATTGATAAACATTCGGGTTGTGCTAAGATGCTGCAAGCGGTCGATTGGTAAGTACTTATGTCCAAGCCCCGAATGTCTAGAAATGACACTGCGGTGATTCGGATAGACTGTTGCACTTTATATGTGAGTGCAGGCGCACATCCACTAATGCCCCACTAATGTTGGAAGTACGCTCTGCATTAATCAGTACAGATGCACTCAAACTGGCCTCAGACATGCACTCTGGTGAGCAGTAGACCAGCTTCTCACTTTTCTGAAGCCGTCAGCAGGTCCAGAACTGTGGTGTCACTGCGATTCCGGATTACTCCTGTGTTCAGGGTGTGGGGTGTCCGAGGTGCCACGAAGGAGTACCACCTCTGATATGGGACCTGCCATACCATCCGGGATAGTCTGCTTATCTTTGATCTCCACCTGTCACCCAGCTCTCACCTGTGGCTCCAAGAAACTGCGTGCACGCGGCAGCGGCCACACCCCGGGCAACCGTCAGACAGACTGGCTAAAACAGGTGAGGGTACCCGGGAACACTGTTCTCGGTGCGTTCGTACCTGAGCGCAACGTCAGTCCTGACAACTGGGAGGAAGATATCTACCCTGATTCAACGGCCAGAAGCCGAGACAATTTCTCGGATCCCTGCTGCCTTGTAGGTAACACTTGACTGTGGAACAGCTAGTGGTGAACCCTCGAACAAAGGCTGGATGAGGTTGGGGTGCGCATACATGCCCATACTCCCCACGAAACTCCACGACATGTCCGTTATTGGTGTTTCTTCTCATGCTGCGGCGTTCCCGGTAGGCGTCGCACTCTGCGCTAACTCAATGGCCAGAGTGACAAATAAGCTAGCTGGGTCCCTCAATCCCCGGAGGCCATTACTCATTGGATATTAGAATGTCAGAACCCTGCTGGATGTCGGTAGCCAAGCGTTGACAATGCGCACACTACAAAACTACCAGAGTAGTATGCCTGACAGAATCTCGAAGACCCGGCTTTGTCTCACGACAAATCAAAGTACCTGGTGTAGACACTCATATTGGCTTTACCAAAGTGGGCCGGGAGATAATTCTGGCAATCGTGGGGTCGCCATAGCTCGAAGATGCAGGGCACACAACGCTCTACTCTCATGGAAGCCAGTATCCGCTAGAAAAGCAGTCGCTCGTTTCAAGTAACTAATCTGACCATAAGCTCTATCTATGCAACAACCTTCCCCTCAGCGGAAAGGGACAAAGACGAATTTTTCGAAAGTCTTTAGCCTGTGGTGAAGCCTGTTCCAAAACGCCACATTCTTCTAATTGCTGAGGACTGGAACGCACCAACCGGGCCGAGGAACGATAAGACCCGTCACATACCCGGGAGATATGCCCTCGGAGAGAGCTGCGTTGATGGAGACCGCTTGCGCAGTTTCGCTGGCAACTGGATGTTCATAACCAATATTCGGTTCCAGCATCCCGAAAATCATCTTTTGATGTGGAACTCCAATGACGGCCGTACAGCCAGCCAAATAGATTACATCTTAATTCGACCCTGGTGGACCTCCTCCATTGATAATTGTCGAGCGCCCAGAGGGGCTGAAACGGGCAATAAAGGTGGTTCAGACCATGTACTTCTGTGCGCCAAATTCAGACTGGCGCCGGAAGATCCTTCCACCAACGTGTATCAGCACTGTCCCAAAGGAAAATACTGATTGCTACCGATTTCTTGAGGTAGCAATAGAAACAGAAATTTCTGCCAGTGCATCACGCCTCGTACTTGCAGAAGATGAATCTGTCGACACACGTTGGTTTATGATAAAGTCGTCAGTTCGACGCGCTGCTTTATCTACACTGAGCTCTATCTCTAAGCCTGTGAAGAACTGGATCACTGAAGATACTATCCGGTTGTCCGCTGAAGCGAGAGAAGCACGTCTTACGAATTCTCCAGACTACGGACGCTTGAGACGTAAGGCAACCCGCTCAATACAGAATGATAGAACCGTTACTGGTCTGTAATTGAAGGCAACATGGAAATTGCATCAAATTCTGGCAATTTGAGCCAATTTTTCGTCTCGTCTGTTTAGCTTCCGGCAAGCACCATTCACCACAGCCGATATTGCGCAATTCGGATGGCTAAATCATTCCCGATACGGAAGGAAAACTTTCCAGATGCGTAGAGTATTTTGGAAACCTCCTAAACAGCCCACTACACACC